GGGAGGCTGAGGCAGGAGACTAGCTTGAGTCCAGGAGTTGGAGGTTGCTGTGAGCTGTGATGCCACAGCACCCTACCCAGGGGGACAGCTGGGAGGCTCTGCCTCAAAAAAAAAAAAAGAATCACATGTTGACGTAAGAAATTCTAAGACAGTACCACCCACCTTTTTTTCTTTTAAGTTATGGCACATATAATAACACTGATAGCCAAGACCTTAAGGTTTGATGCTGCTTGTGAGAGCTAATACTTCCCAAAATTCATGATGATAAGAATATATTGAAAAATAACAGTTAATCTGGACCAGACATGGGTGGCTCACACCTGTAATCCTAGCACTCTGAGAGGCCAGGGCTGAGATGGGAGTATCCTTTGAGCTCAGGGGTTCCAAACGAGCCTGAGCAAAAGTGAGACCCCATCGCTACTAAAATAGAAAAATTAGCAGACACTGTGGCATGTGCCTGTACAGCTACTTGGGAGGCTGGGGCAGGAGGATTATTTGAGCCCAGGAGTTTGAGGTTGCTGTGAGCTAAGCTGATGCATGGCACTCTAGCCTGGGCAACAGAGTGAGACTTTGTCTCCAAAGAAAGAAAAGAAATACTGCTGTGGTGAATTATCTAGACTCTCAGAGCCCCAGCAATATGGATGGCTTAGCTCTCAGGACCTTCCACCACCATTTGTTGTCATTCTGTTTTGGAGCTGACTATTTTTTTTGGGAGACAGAGCCTCAAGCTGTTGCCCTGGGTAGAGTGCTGTGGCATCACAGCTCACAGCATCCTTCACCTCCTGGGCTTAAGCGATTTTCTTGCCTCACCCTCCCAAGAAGCTGGGACTACAGGCACCCGCCACAATGCCCAGCCATTTTTTGGTTGTAGTTGTCATTGCTGTTTGGCAGGCCCAGGCTGGATTCGAACCTGCCAGCTCTGGTATATGTGGTCGGCACTTTAGCCGCTTGAGCTACAGGCGCCAAGCCTAAAGCTGACTTCTGATTATTAAACTGGTTTTCCAGAAGCCTTGGAATGGAGTGTGAGGTACAGGATGCCTTGGGTTTCATATGTGATAGTTCCAGTCATTGAAACTATATATTTCCATTACATCTAATTTGTTTGCATTCTGGGGTTTGTGTATTTAAATTGCATGAGTCAGTTTCTTAGTGTCCTGATTGCCCTTAATGAACTAATGATGTCTCACCTCCAAGGTGAAGTTGGCTCTCCCTGACCCTCAGAGCTCTTCCTTTCCATCTACAATAGTTTTGTTTTTTGTTTTTTACATAATTGTTAACTTCTTTAAAATTTAAGTAATTCTAACAATTATTCAATCCCAACCATCTAACAAATCATCTACCTTTATTCATAGTAATTAAAATAACTTTTCTGTCTGTAGGCAGGGACCGTGGTTTAGACTTATTAACCCACCTGCAATCTAAATATTGACCCCCTGGGCCAAATATTTTAAGCTAGGGCTATTCAGAGCAGTCAGGTATCTGATAATATACAAACTCAAGCAATTAGTAACTAATCAGTATGGTAGGAATTTAGTGTGAGCTAGAGAAGTTCTGAACTTCATGGAAGAGGTAGGACTGTAAGCTTGGTAGGCAAAGGATTTAGAGATAGGCCTAGAAGAGCAAGGGAGGGCATTTAATCAGTGAAGTGTGGGAAGAGCAGAGGCTGAGCAAATGTGAAAAGGTACTGCAAGTTGGGTGGAGGTGGGGACTGAGAGATGAGCATGACTGTACAAAATGCACAAATTCATGTTGTTCTCACCCGTCTATTCAGAGAGGAGTTGGGGTGGTGTGTAGTAAATGTCACATAATATTGGATGTGTGGGCTCTTGTGCTGAGACATCAGCACTCCTGATCAGTAACCCTGAGTGGCTGATAGAATTGACTAGGAGGTTGCCCCTCTTTTTTCTCTTGAGAAAGACCACTTCTGATAGAGGAGATTGAGCCTCTACAGCCATTTTTTGGGTTTTCACAAATACAAGTTTCAGAGGGAAGTGAAATTAATTACATGTTGTGTATTTTATTCATTCAGCTAGGTCATCAGGCTAGAATTTGTTTTCTACCCTGCAGGAGCCCCATCTCTGCAGTGGTCGAGTCTCACACCATGAATACCAGGCCAAGCACTAAGGAGGATTAGATAACCCAGCTTAGAGGCATCAACCTTCACATAGGAGTACATCTGAGCAGAACATTGAAGACTGAGTAGAAGTTGGTCAGGTGAGGAGAAGAGGTGCTCCAGGAAATGAGAACTCACATACAAGAACTTAATATACATGTCTGCAAGAGGGAACATGGCATGATTGGAGCTGCAAGGACTTTGGTCCAGCAGGTGCATAGGTAAAGCCAGGGAGGTATGTGAGGGGTTAGATCTTATATCTCAGAGCATAGTGAAGGACTTAGTTTTTCTCATGAAGGCAGTAAGGAACTGTCAGAGGATTTTAAACAGTGTTATGTCATATTCAATGTGGCTATCATATGGAGAAGATTGGAGAGAAAATAAGCTGAAGTCAGGTGAGAGACGATGAGAGCTTGGTCTTGAGCACAGAAGGGGAATGGAGTTAAAAGGACAAATGGGAAATACTCAAGCACAAAAGGACTTGGTGGCTGCTTAAAGTTTGGCAGAAGAGAAAGAAGCTCTGATGTTTGTTGGTGCCACCATACTCTGAAGTCAGGAGGAAGCTCCATTTGGGAAAGTGGTGAATTCATTGAAAGAATATAGTGACTTTGAGGTATTTGTGGGATGTCCAAGTGGAGATGTCTGGAGAGCTCTTGAATGGTGTGTTTGGAGCTCAGGGAGGTATAAGTCAGATATTGGTGTAAATAGGAAAAGATAACATGAATATTTCATCTCCAAATATTTCTCAATTTTTTTTTTTTGGCTAGAACTGGGTTTGAACCCACCACCTCTGGCATATGGGGCTGGTGCCCTACCCTTTTGAGCCACAGGCACCACCCTCCAAATATTTCTCAAAGCAACAACTACTTTCCACTTACCCTGATCATCACCCTGATCCACGTTTCTATTATTTTTTGGCTAATCTATCTGCTTCTGCTTCTGCCCATTCTTACACAGCTAGTGGAGTGATCTTTTTAAAATGAGAGGAATCTTATAATTTCCCTGCTTAGAAGCTGTTATCATTGACTTCCCATTACCCATAGGATAGAATTCAGACTTCTAACCATGGCTACAAATGCCCTGTGTGACCTGGCCCTGGACTTCCTGTCTGCATGGCCATGCTCATCTTAAGCCAGCTCTCATTACTTACCCATGCTGTAGCCATACTGGCTTCCCTAGGGCTTCATACTTCTGTCTTTTGTGTGCCAAGTTCTTCATCTCTTCCAAGCCTTTGTTCAAGCTACTCACTCTGCATGGATTATTATCTTTCAAGTCTTACTTCAGATGTCAGTTTTTCAGAGGAGCCTTCTCTCACTTCCTGAGCTACATTAGAGCCAACCTGCATTTTTCTTTCCTAGCATTTAACTCAATTTGTTAGTACTTAATTGTGTGTTTGTTTATTATCTATCACCTATATAAGCTCTCTGAGGGCAAAATCCATTCTATGTTTTGTTTACCATTGTACCCCCAGTGCCTGACAGTTCTGAGCACATAGTCAGCACTCTGTGAATCTTTGTTAGATTTGTTGAATGAATGAGGGTTTAGTCATTTTCATTTTCTGTGTTGATAAACTTTTTTTTTTTTTCAGTTTTTTGGGTGGGGCTGGGTTTGAACCCACCACCTCTGGCATATGGGTCTGGCACCCTACTCCTTTGAGCCATAGGCACTGCCCTAAACTTGTTTTTTTTTGACACAGACACAGAACAAATAGAACTGTGACATAAGCAGTACACTTCATTTAGCTGATTTCATGTACTTTTGATGATTTTATTATATTTTCAACTGATATTAAGAACTCTTTGCCTCTGGAAATTGCAAATCAAACCTTGGGGGAATTTTTCCTCCCTAATGCCCATATTCATTATGGTGACTTTGATTATCATGGCCTAACATCAGTCTTACAGACTGATAGAGTTTTGAAATTACAATAGAAAAGCCGATCCTTGTTCCCTTGAATTTGGCATTGGTGGTAGAGTTTGGTAGCAGCCTTCTCCTTTTGCCCTGATTTGGGAAGCATCCCAATGCATGCCATTTGCATTGCAGCTGTGGGAAAGTCCAGCTTTGTGAAGTTACTCACGAAAACTTACCCAGAGTGGCACATAGCTACAGAACCTGTAGCAACATGGCAGAATATCCAGGCCCTTGGCACACAAAAAGTAAGTTTCTGGTTGTGGTGGGTAGCTGGCAGGCATGGATGAGTAATCTAATTGTAATAATTTAATTTGCTCTGAGTGGGTGAAGTAGCCCAGTTTGAGTCTACTTTTTAAAATAGCTTCATTCCAGAAAACAGACCACATGCACCAGAGAGGATATGACTTATTTGAATATATTTAGTTTTAATTTTTGTGGTTTTTATGTGTCTATGTAAGTGACAGCCTCTGTTCTTTGTGGTTTCCCAAAGCATGTCCAACTATTATGTCTTTAAAGATGAATCCTGTCATTCCTTCCTTTAAGTATGTATATTTTTATTACTGAAGATGATCATCAGGAGTAATAGTTACGGCAATTTTAACTTTTGTATAAAGTGTCAAAATTAGAAGAGGCCTTAGAAGAGGATTCTGTCTCACTTTGAGTTAGTGCAGACATAACTACCATTTACGAAGCACACACGACATGCCAGGCACCGTACTATGCCAAGCACTGTATATTTCACTTACACCTCATGACTCAGGCCCTGGTGTCATGTCTGCTGCTTGTCAAAGGCCATAGAGTTGGTTTCAGCACTATCCACATCAGTGTCAATAGGGAAGGACCTATTTAGACATGGATCTTAAGCGGTAGCACTGTGCTACCTCAGGCTCCATGAACTCCTCCTGCCTCCACCTGAATGGCTCATTCTTGTTTGTCATACTCTAATTGTTAGACTCTTCTGCCTTGCTCTGAGCCACATTGCACCCCTGTGACTCTGACTCATTGGTGTAGGTTCTGCCTCCTAAGTCTTGTGACTTTTCCACACTCAACCCTATATATAGCTGAAGGCAATGATTTGCCTGCTCTGTCTCCCCCTCATGTCTTTTCTCTTTAAAGCCAAACACCTCTAATTTTCTCCAGGTTTATCATTCTGAAGTAACTTTGTCTAAGTGATGATTTCTAATTGGTTTATTTTCCACTAGAAATTACTAAGAATGGTACTCAGAGCTGAATATGACACATTCTGTATATAGTCTAAATGGTATAGAGTATCATGGGACTTACTCTAGATCCCATTTTTCTTCTGTTATTGTTTGTTTTTTGAGGCAGAATCTCAGTCTGCCATGGCATGAGCCTAGCTCTCAGCAGCCTCATTTTCCTGGGTTCAAGTGATCCTCCTGCTTCAGCCTTGAGTAGCTGGGACTAGAGGTACCCACCACAATTCCTGGCTAATTTTTTCTATTGTAGATAGAGACAGGGTCTCATTTTGTTCAGGCCCAGTAACCTATTTCGAATGAATAGAATGCAGCAGAAATACCTAGAGTGTGACTTTCTAGGGTAGGTCATAAAAAACATTTCTAGCATCGCCTTACTTTGAGGGGAGCCAGCTGCCTTGTCATACAGTAGCCCTTTCAAGAGGCCCAAACAGCAAAGAACTGAGGTCTCCTATGCTCAGGTACCTAAGTGAGTCTTCCTGGAGATGGAAGCTTCCTTCCCATTCCAGCTGTCAGATGATTGTATCCTCAGCTAACATCTTGAGGAAACTTCATGAGAAACCCTGGGGTACAACCACCCACTCAAATTCCTATCCCTCAGTAGAAACTGAGATAATGATTTTTGTGTAAGCCACTTAATTTTGACATGATTTGTTAGGCAGTGATTAAAAAGTAGTATTTCTATAATCCCATTATCCAGAGGTAATATGGTTATTACTTTTGTCCTTTTAGATGTCTTTCTACAAAGGAAAAAATGGATAGATTTAACATAAATGTATAAAATATTTAATATATGTACATTTGCAATTTAAAGCAAAAATTGTGATTGCCATTGGCATGTCACTTATATTTGAAGTCATCTTCATAGTAATGTCATTTGAATGGTTGCATAATATAAAATGTTGTCATTTACTTATCCAATCCTCTATTTTGAATATTTAGTTTTCTAATTTCTCCCTATTATAAACAAAAATTTTTTCCAAGACATTCTCACTCTGTCACCCTAGGTAGAGTGTCATGACATCATAGCTCACAGGAACCTCAAACTCTTTAGCTCAAGAGATCCTCTTGCCTCAGCCTCCCAAGTAGCTGGGGCTACAGGTGCCCACCACAACACTCAGCTGCTTTTTCAGAGACAGGGTCTCACTTTTACTCAAGCTGATCTCAAACTCCTGAGTTCAAGCAATCCACCAGCCTTGGCCCCCCAGGCTTATTAGGATTACAGGCTTGAGCCACCATGCCTGGTATTTTTTCCCCTATCTTAATAATAAAAGCATTTGCAACAGAGAATTTTCTTTGTGAGATAATAAGCTTTGGCTCTGTCTCAAGATTTGATGTGTAAGGTTTTAACTAAACTGTCTAAATCAATGGTTCTCAACCTGTGGGTTGCCGCAGCATTAGGAAGGTTGAGAACCACTGGTCTAAATAGTTTATAATTGTAGTTGTGACTTATTCTTTGCATAAGAGTTATTTTGAA